TTAGGTAATTTTCTCTATTTTTAAATATACTACCACTGTCCCAAAAACAAGTTTACAATTTCTTTTTTGTTGGCCATGGAGAGAGCACCTACTAGAGAAGGGAGGAATATAATTAGTAAATGAAATGCATTTATAGAGCCCCTAGAAGGCAGATGTGCATCTAGATTTATAGAATTTAGAATGGAGTATGGACACCTGGATTGAACACTAAGAAACTTGAACTGAATCGCATTAAAAGATTGAATCCAATGAATTAGTTAGTTCAAATCAAGAGCTTATATACCGATTATTTTGCTCTTGAACTTCCGATGTGGGATGACACTCTAACACTCCCCCTCAAGTGGACAACCGGGCCATTTTGAATTTAATCGGTTGACCACTTGCAAATAAACTTCCATTCCCTTGATTTTTTTTGAGCGCCAACACCTAAAGGACCACAAGCTGCTGGGTATGGACTTCCAGACGAGCAATCGTGTTAAATGGGCCACAGGCCGTTGGGTACATACTCCATACGGACAACTGGGCTAAAGACCGAGCCGCTATGAATGAACGTTTAAACGGACACCTTGACAAACGAGGTTGGCCAAAACCTGCTCTGATACCATTATAGAATTTAGAATGGAGTATGGATAACTGGATTGAGCACTAAGACACTTGGACTGAACCACATTAAAAGATTGAATCCAATCGATTAGTTAGTTCAACTCAAGAGCTTATATACCGATTATTTTCTCTTGAACTTCCAATGTGGGATGACACTCTAACATAGATAGACAGATACACGCTTACTACAGAGTACTTCAATTGGAACCATGCATGTATGGTAGTTAATTGTCTATACTTATATGTTTGAGACATAGTTTCTTGGAAATACCCTAATTCCGAGACCCTACATTTTGTGGGATTCAACTAGGTTTGTTGTTGTTGGAACTGTGTAGTTGAGCAGAATTTAGGATACAAAAACACCTCTTATCATTACATCATATTGATTCACATGCAAGAAGAAATGGATAGGGAGCAACCTGAAGCCAAACTGTTTAGTTTTTGTAAGCGCTCGTCAAGCCTTGATGCGAACCACGAACGAGCTTGTGGATGTTATTAAGAACTCAAGACGATACTTTGAGCCATATGAAGTTTATTAAAATCATCAGCATTGAACGAATAACAAGTTAGGAAAAATCGTAATTTGGTAAAAGACATTACTTACATGCAGGCACTTTAGATATGTGTGCAGATACTACACATGGAGTTCCACAAGGAAAATAAAGATGCATTCATATTGCTTGTGCAGCTTTGTTCTCAGCCATCGCCAAAGGTTCTTGAATAGATAAATAGGTTTCAAGTGATGGATCCACATGCATCCGAGATAGCCAAACTGCAGAAGTGAAACTTGAGGCCGAGGATTAAAACCATGTTTTTTAAATAGAGAAATGAGCACCAAACACAATTCTCTTTTTCAGACTCAATATTTTCTGGGAAAAGGGAGAGTTCTTAATCTACTAAAAGTTAGACCAATGGTATTTGCAATGAAAAAATGGAATCTTGGTGAACCTAGCTATATGCAATTCAAAAAATATTATTTTGGAAAAAGTGATGTGTTAAAAATTCAAGTGAATTACTTTTCGGATTTCGTACTTAACAAAATACGAAGGAAGGCGCCTTCCCAATTCGCACGACTAATTTAAACACGAGTTCTGGAGAAAGTCGGAAACGGAAACTCTTCGTCCTTCACCGCGCCTTTAAAGCTTCTCGCATTTTTGGTTGTCAAGTAGTTCAAAAATTCATCACAATTCCCATAAGTTCTTGATCAATAATTTGACTTTTATGAGACTGATTTTGGATTGAACACCCAAATAACCAACCTATAAGTGTTGTCACGACTCTCAGTTTAATCCGTGTTATATTTATTCCCCAATAGAAATCAGTTGATCTAGTTAGATAATTTTTACTATCTCAACACATTTCAATATGAAGATCCTTTTCAAGTATATTACTATGATTAGGAGTGATTTTGTGGCATGCAATTGACGGGGTGCGAGAGTATGTTTGGATTAGGCCAGAGGTTGGGGTTTACCTCGGAAGTTAGAAGAGATAGGAACCATCAATTTCTTGAACGGAGCATCGTATGAACCTCGGGTCATCCCATGACACTGAATTTCAATGTCATTTTTAAATTTCATGTGATTGTCAAAATTTCTCTCAATCCATTGATTCCATTCTATAGTGGGCCCACATTTCATGTAAAGGAAACAACAGTCATTTCATTAACAGACTGAATAGAAAAGGTAGTCGCAGTCAACCTGTTGGACGGACAAGAGTGGGCTCATAGCTAACATTGGTGCGAACCGCAGGCCACATAAGCGACAATAATGGCCCATTGCTTTTTAATCCATTCTTCCGTATCGGCCCATAGCTAACATATTTCCATGCATGGAGTCATATGTGTGCTGCATCAAATCTGTGGGCCAGACGGCCCGACCTTACATGGGCCTGCAATTTTTTACTTCAATTCTTTCGAGTTTTGACAACGTTTCGCATCAGTTAAGGCCTATGATAATTGAACGATAGACATATCCATAACAGGTGTTTGTTTTTAAAAGGCACTTATCCATAAACAATGCACCGTTGATAAGGTAAAGAGTATCTCTAAGGGATAATATATCTCACACACACACATATTTATATGAAAATAGTACGTTTAATATTTTTATACCGAGTACAAAAATCAGGTTTACAATGTCAAAATAAAAATCAAAAAAATATTATAAAATGTCCATACATAATGCCAAATTAATTATATATAAAATAATGTAATGGGGAGTAAAATTTTTGTATAATTGAAAACTAAAATTCATCTATTCTAACAGTATCATCTTTGGAGTAGCATGCTCTGTAATGAAAATTTATAGTTTTTGTTCATTGTTTCATTTTTTTACGTATTTAAAATATTAAACGCTTTTCTTTAATTTTATTGTCTCTATGTCTATATTACAACGTAGTATCTGTACATACATTTTCCAACCTAACGACGCATAAAAAGCCAGCGTCACCGTCCCTACTAGGGCTCGAACTTGGGTGAACTTTCGATGAATCCATTGTCAATGTTCTAAGTGAGCGAATAATTTGGGATGGAGATATTATTAAAATTATTAGGGACATATATTAATGTTTAATAGATAAATTAGAAAGGACAACACATTGAAGTTAATAATATACTCCGTATTAATAATAAAAAAAGATAATTGGACAAACGTATATGGGCACTGGGATTGGCCCGTTACAACACGTCCATGCACTGCGGGCCCGCCAACCATTCTTTGAGATGGCCTTTGGGAAAATATGCATATTAGCATATATCCAAGTTGCATGTAGAGGTCCCTCGAGAAATTTTATAAAGAAAAATCACATGTACACTATTGAGGTACACAAAAATTCTAGAATAAACATTAATTTGAGCTTAGTTAAGCCCAAAAAAGAAATCTAAAAAAAAAATATGGAACAAAGAGTGTATAAAATTGCACAATATTGTGCAATGTATATTTTCATGGATGTTAGGATCAGACTTATAGTATCGCAGAGGTTTATTTGTTATCTAAAAAAAGTCAAATTAGTTTATGTATTCAAATGTATATCATCCTCTTCATTACCATTCATTTTATTTATTTATTTATGTTCTATTTTACATGAAAAAATGATTAATTATCGAGGAGAGTGATGTACATTTGGGATACACTTTTATTTTTGATCTTTTTTAAGTGGAAGGAGTAATGAAAAGAATGTGGGCCAATGTTGGGACTGACTGTACGGCGATGAAGCTAGTGACAAACTGACAACCGTTGATTCCGCTTTAATGTTCTTCCCGGTTCATTTTATGAAGTTTGATTGACTTTATTTTCAATTCGATTTATTTGATTGTAGGTGTAAAATTAAAAAATAAAATTTATATATTTAAAAACTATATCAAAAGTTCTACAAAACAAGTGGTGACAAGATTATACTCCCTCCGTTCCTTAAAACCCTTCCGCCCTAAATTTTTGCGCACCTCATTTAACGCTTTTACTCCCATCTAAAATATCTAAAATATACCCCACTATGTAGTTTATTGCGGATAGAAGTTGTTTTAGGGGTATTTTAGACATTTTAGGTGGGATAGAAGTATTTTATGGGGTGCACAAAAAATTAAAACGGAAGTGTTTTGTGGAACGGAGGGAGTATTATTTTATCAAATATCTAATGAAAATAGGTAAAGAAAGTGATAAAAGTTTGACCGTGTAAAAAGTGAGTGGGAAAAACATTATAGGACGGAGGGAGTACTAATTATAAAATATTTATATTAAATATTGATAGAAAAGTAATTTTATTAGATTTATTTTATAAAGTATTTCAAAACATTATTATGCCTAAGTAATATCAAAATTATTTTTTGATTTCATTATATGTCAAAAGAAAGGTCATGTTTTCTTCACTTGACTTGAATGGTTCTGACGTAATTGAAATACATAAGTTCTGATATGATATGATCTCAATGTAGTTATATTTAATGTAATTTCTGTTTTGATCAAATCCGGTCTGATCTGATCATATCTGATTTGACTCCAAAAAACGATCACTGCCTATGTAATTATGGGCACATCAAGTATCCATATCATATATTAGAGGTGGAGTGGGATAATCAATACATTGGTAATAGTACAATATATCATTAGGAAATAAAGAAGAGCGTACAAGGATTATATATATTATATATAACAAAACATAAATATTCTATCTATACTAGCTTAATTAATATGGACCGTCCGATGAAATAACCATCCAGCTCCATCTACTGGCCGGATCCACCAATTTCCCTCATGAGCAACTTAGCAGTTGCATGGATACATGTTGATATCTCCTTGACCTTCCAGCTGAGGATTTTTATATATATTTATATATATATGGTACTTAGGATATATATATATATATATATATATATATAATCCAATAATGGAGAATATATGTATATATATGGATTATTATTATTGATATAGGAAATAATAGATCGATAATGGTGGGAGATCGATCGATCAGGTGATCAATCCCCTGATGATGGAAGCCTCCGGGCTTTCAGCATCAATGGTGGAGAGGAGTTGGGAAAGGCGCTCGCTCAAATCGTCAACCTCTCTGTGCAAATTCTTTATGTAGTTGCACGTCTCCTGCAACACTTTCGAAGCACATGTCTGATGAAAAAAACGTTACATTAGCCACCGTAAAAAGAAAAAGTAATTCTAGAATTACAAACAAACATCTCATAACATTTGTGAACAGTTTTTTGTGGCATTTTTGAAAAAGAAAAAAATATTCCTATCATATGTGAGGAAGGGTTAGGGAGTAATTAATACATGCATGCATTAGACTAATGTCTTTGTTTAGAGTGCTATATATATGCATGTGGACCATACCATAATTAATTAAATCGTGCTTAAATAAAGTCATTAATTATCTAATGGGCTTATTATAATACGTGTAGGGATGGATATGATCAGATTAATTAACTCAGTTCGTACCTGCTGTCCATATAGACGTACAACTTTTCTTAACGGTAAATCAACTTGTCCTAGTCATCACATACATTTAATTTATTCGAATTATTTCGGATTGTGATACTTTTTCAGATTGTTTTCTTTTTTTTTTCTGGTTTTTAAACCTTTGGGAACCTTATAAGTTATAACTACAACTCTTTATTAATTACTCTCCCCGTCGTCTCTAAAAGACTGTTTATGTTTTTTTTTGTACATTTCATAAAATAATTCTATCCCACCTCAAATTCTTACAAAAATTCAAAACAACTTTTACCCACGATAAAAGAGAAATGTAGTAAATTTTAGGCATTTTAGATGTGGGTAGAAGTATTTTATAGGATCCGCAAAAAAATGAAACATGAACATCTTTTTAAAAATTATTATTATTAATTATTAGTAATACTGTATTATTATTATTATTATTATTATTATTATTATTATTATTATTATTATTATTATTATGACCCCACACGTGAACCAAATCAAGAAATCTGGGCTAGGCGTGACAAAAAAGAAAATGATACATTAGAAATAGAAATAAGCTCGTTTTCAAAAGCTCGATTTGACCGAGTCAAATCCCTAAAAACAAATTTTGTGAGTTAAACATTTTTCTAAAATTACCTAAAGTCAAAATTAAATTTGAAACTACTCCGGGTAATATTTAGAGAGGGAGACACTATATTAGAAAAAAGTTCTAAGTTGCATAACATGACTTGACTTGGGCCTTAGACTATGGGGTGTGGTTTCCTCTCCCTTCCCATTTCACATAAATATATCAACACTTAATTTTATTTAAATTATTAAATTAAAAACATTAAACACATCTAAATAATACAAACTTCAAAAAATTGACATTTAAATTTGAAAAGAAAATTAAAAACTTAAAAAAAAAATTAAGGAAATCAAATTTTGGAAAAAAATAAAAACTGAAAAGTAATAAAAAACTAAAAATAAAAAAAGAAAATGAAGCAACCAAAAATGAAGCAACTAAAATAAATGTAATGAAAATAAAAATTACATATTAAAAACTCAATATTAGACTATTTATAGGGAGGCGCGAGGAGGGGGGCGTGATCCTCCTTCGTGTTCCACTATTCCCCTCCATCCCACGCCGCACATGGCGTGACCGTCATCACGCCTGCTATGCCTCTCTTTCTTTTTTCACTAATCAAAATTTAACACATTTTTCTAACATCCATCAAGCCTCCGTCATTACACATAGTTGTATTTTCTGCATAGATCACAAATTTTCCAATGCTTATTAAACAAAATTGTGTGTATTCATATGACCACGAAGTGCAACACAAACTCTTAGGTTTAGTATTAAATTTCAGTTTTTCACCTAAACCGACAACTGCATCAGAAGGGTAAAATTATTATGTATTGGACCAAATATATGAAATAGAAACCCCAAATTTTATGTACATTGCATTATTGCACATAGAATAATGACACGTTTGTTTGTGACTGTTTCTTCATCTCTTTGATTAGGTAATGTTTTATTCTTCCACCTTCCATTCTCATCCCAAACTCCATCCACCAAACTTTAACCCATTTTTTCTTTCAAATTTTCCCACAACTTATTGTCATCCGAAAAGATCAATTCAATCAAAAGTTTAAGTTCAGGATCGGATTATGCCATGCACCTAGTTAATTGAAAAAGCCTTAGAGAACATATTCCGTGAAGTTTGAGTTTCTGATTGAGTTAATTCGTTGATGTTAAACGTACTACGTACCTTGGAGGATCTACGGGCGCGAAGCTCGGGTAAGAGCTGCTGCAACTTGGAAACGAGGTCGATGATCTGATCATCGGAAATCCTCGAAGTCCCCGACTGCCTCGATCTTCGGCCAGACATCTCCTGATATGAGCTTACAATTAACTTGAGAAAACCGTTGTGTTTTTGTTCAAGGAAACAAACCCAACGAACCCACTTTTGTGACAAAGGTGAGTGAATTTGGGACAAAAAAAAATTGAGACGTCGTTAGATTTAATTTGTTGGGCAAATTAAAGTGTGATACGTGTCGCGAGGGCGGAGGTGAGGATGGAAATGAAGTGTGAAGAATGGAAGATGGAATAGTACGCAGTAGTGTAAGTATAGGGCGGGCAGAGAGCTAAGAAGAAGAAGAAGAAGAAAAAAGTGAGAGAAGGGGGGGTATGGTGAGGTAGTTAGATATTGACTATGTAGAAAGTGATCATAACTAACCAGCTTTAAAGGGCATAGGAGATGGCCTTGGACCACACCAACAAAGAATTGAAAGAAAGTGAGATAGAGAGAGGGAATGGAATAGTACTCCTGTAATGTTTGGTATCTCCCAAAAAGAATTTCTTGTTTTAGCTTTACGAAGATCAAGAAAAGTCTCGAAAATAAAGATGTTGAAAAAAGACACCAAGTTGCGAAAAGTCGATGGTTATTAGGCGAGGTGCTATGGCGGGTTTGATAGGGCGGGGTGTACAGAGGTATGACGTGGAGTGATTAGAATATGTGTGGTATAGTGGTGTTAAAGGAAGTGATGAGAATATGAAAATTTGAATAAACTTTGATTGATTGAGGTAGAAGCGTGTTAAATCTTTATCAGTTAGAAATTCAAAAAATAAAATAAAAGAGGAGAGCGAACTGGCGTGATAGCCATCGTCCACGAGAGGGCCACCCCGCCACTAGTAATGTCTTAGGGGCTGTTTGTTTCAGCCTCTTAATGGTTCAGATGTCTGAATGGCTCGGCACTTAATGGTTCATTTGTTTCAGCCTCTTAATGGTTCAGATGTCTGAATGGTTAAGAGATTTGCCTCTGAATGGTTAAGTATTATACAGAGTCTGAATGATTAAGACCTCTTATCTGAATTGATCAGACATTTGCCTCTGAATAGTTAAGCAATATACTAGCTCTTAATGGTTCAGACCTCTTACTAGTTCAGCACTTAATGGTTCAGACCTCTTACTCGTTCAACACTTACCGATTCAGAATTTGCCAAACAGCCCCTTAGCTTATGGAAGAAGTGCGTGAAGGAGGTGGCCAAGTGCCTCCATACGCTCGATTACACATGGTCTTAGAACTAATTTACAAGATAGAAATACTTTCTTTTACTTTCTTAAAAGATGGTGCGAGTGAAAAATAAAAACATAATTTTAGGACAGATAAGAAAAGAAGTCGGATTTTTTTGGACAAATTGGGTAATAATACTTCATCCGTCTCATTAAAAGTTTCCCCTTCTTTTTCTGAAATTTTTTTTTCAAATCAATATGTGGTAGGAAATATTTCTTTCTCTTCAGCAAAATTTCTAATTGAATCACTTTTTAAAGCATTTTTTCAAATATTTCTTTTCAAAACTTTTTAAAACAACATTTCCTTGTATAACTTAAGATATATATACTCGTTTTTTAAATATTTAAGTTTTATTTTTTAATTCTTTTACTAATTATTAAATAAAATGACTTTAAAAATATAAGATTTTGCATCGTAACTATAAGATTGTAATCAAAACAAAGACGAAAGAAACAATAATGAGGTGTGTTAATTAAGGGGTGTAGTGTATAGTCGTATATGTAGACAAAAAAGAGATGTTGGATGGTAACAAGACAATTGCATTGGATAAAGAAATGAACGACCCCTCCCTGCTGTGCTCTCCCAACTAAAGTTTAGCAGCAATTGAAGCTGTGTTAGTTGCTCCTTTCCACTTGAGGACGA